AGGAAGAGGAGCAGGAGCAGGAGGACGAGGAGGACGAGGAGGACGAGGACGAGGACGAGGAGGACGAGGAGGAAGAGCTGCAGCAGCACCTCAAGTGTTCTGAGTGTCAGGTCTGCAGGGGTGGAAGCAGCGCTGGCCCCGACCTGCTAACGTATGAGTGGATGCCCCCCCCCCGGTACAGGAGGACGTGAACTTCCTCAAGAACGAGCTAGCGGCGAACGAAGTCTCCTCCTCCACCTTCGACGAGTACTGCAAGGAAGTCCTGAGCTCCAAGCTCGACTGGACCCCCCGGCACAAGAGCGCAGCTTTCTGGGAGCAGAACACGCACAGGTAGGAGGGGGAGGAGAGGAGGGAGGAGGAAGAAACGGAGAAGCTCGAGTGCCAGGAAGGCGGGGGGGTAGAGGGAAAGGGAAAAGATGAGTGTGTTAAGAGGGCAGAAGGGGGGGATGGGTAGACGAGGAAGATGAACGGGAAGAAGAGGACAACAAGGACAAGGACAAGGAAAGAGGAGGAGGAGGAGGAGGAGGAGGAGGAGGAGGAGGAGGAGGAGGAGGAGGAGCTGACGGGACAGCAGGTTTCTCGAGAAGGACGGCTTCATTATCAAGGAGCTTGTCAACATCCTCGGTCGCTCCGACGCCTCCTCACGCGAGCTCGCCGTCGCCATCCACGACGTGTCGGAGCTGCTGGGCCGGAGCTCAGCGACCAGGAGCAAGGTGATGGAGACAGACGCCAAGGAGCTCCTCATGCTACACTTGCTCGCCGAGGACGAGGAGGTCAAGACTCAGGCTCTGCAGTGCGTGCAGCGGCTGATGCTGCTGGGGTAGAGCTGCTGCTGCTCCTGCTGGGGTAGAGCTGGGGGTGGTGGTGGTGGGGTGGCACTGCTGCTGCTGCTGCTGCTACCTTGAGGAGCCGCGTGTGAGACGAGCCTTCACGTCCTCCTCCTTGCCGATGCTCAGCCTCCTCCTCAAGGTCAGCTGGACTTGACTGCCAGCAGACTGTGAGGAGAAGATGGGCGAGGAAGGGAGGGAGGAAGAGGGAAGAGGAAGAGCAGGAGTAGGAGAACCAAATAACGAGGAGGAGGAGGAGGAGGGGAGGAGGGAGGGAGGAGGAGGAGAGGAGGAGGTTGAAACATGAATGAAGTCATTTGTACCTTCCTGGCGGTCCAAGAATATGCTTCGCAATCTCTCCCTCCGTCATGTCCGCCACCTCGCAGTCGTCAATGGCGATGAGACGATCTCCCTGCCGGATCTGCCGCAATGTGATCAGGGATGGGCGCATGAGGAAGAGAAAGAGAAGAGAGAGAGGAGGAGGAGGAGGAGGAGGAGGAGGAAGAGGTGCAGGGGCAGCAGGATCGGAGGAAGCAAACCACAAGATGCAGATCAAGAGGAGAAGGAGAAGCACTGAAGAAAGGTAGCAGCAGCAGCAAATGAGAAAGAGATAGAAACAGGAGCCGAAGCGAAGCGGGAACAGAAAGAGAAGAGGGAAGGAGGGGAGCAAGAGAAGAAGAGAAAGGAGAAGAGAAAGGAGAAGAGAAAGGAGAAGAGAAAGGAGAAGAGAAAGGAGAAGAGAAAGGAGCAGACAGAGCTGAGGGAACTCAAACGAACATCAGAGGAGGAAGCGGGGCCGTCGCGCGAGACGGAGCGAACCACAAGAGTATGAGAGTCAAGCTTAGACTCGAAGACAACACCGACCCCTGCCTGAATGAATGTCAACTCCTCCTCCTCCTTCCCCTCCTCTCCCCTCCTCCTCCTCCTCCTCCTCCCTCCTCCCTCCTCCCTCCTCCCTCCTCCCTCCTCCCTCCTCCCTCCTCCTCCTCCTCTATCGCACCAGCTGATCTCGACTCGGAGGAGCAGCAGAAACTTGTCCGGAGCTCTCAGCGTGCATCACATTGCGACTGCTGGGCATACAGCAGGTAACGAACTCCTCCAACCACGATGACATCCTCCTGCCATGCAAGCCACAAGTAAGCCCTCCTCGCGCCTCCTCCTCCTCCTTCTCTTTTCCCTGCTCCTGCTCCTGCTCCTGCTCCTGCTCCTGCTCCTGCTCCTGCTCCTGCTCCTGCTCCTGCTCCTGCTCCTGCTCCTGCTCCTGCTGCTGCCCCCCCATGCTCCTGATTCTCCTGCCCCTCCCTGCTCTATTTGTCATCATCCTCTCTTCTCCCCTCCCATCTCCCCCTCCCCTCCTCCTCCTCTCCTCCTCTCCTCCTCCCCTTCTCGCCCACCCCCGCCCCTCCCCTCCTCCTCCTCTCCCCAGCTCAGCTCAGCTCAGCTCAGCCCTGCCCTGCCCTGCTCGTCCCTGCCCTGCCCTGCCCTGCCCTGCCCTGCCCTGCCCTGCCCTGCCCTGCCCTGCCCTGCCCTGCCCTCTGCTCTCCTCCCTCCCTCCCTGCTCCTCCCCTCTCCTCTCCTCCTCTCCTTCGCTTCCTTCTACTACGTCCCGCATTCAATCTCACCTGGTCGGGCCGCCCAAGTTCGGAATCGGAACTTTCGGCGAGTAACAAACTTGACGCCCCGCTGCTGCTGCTCCTACTGCTGCTCCTGCTCCTGCTCCTGCTGCTCCTGCTCCTCCTGCTCCTCCTGCTCCTGCTCCTGCTCCTGCTCCTGCTTCTGCTGCCTGCTGCTCCTGCTCCTGCTTCTGCTGCTGCTGCAACAATCTGGAGATTCTACAACTCTACAGGCTCAGATGGCTGCGAAAGCTGCTGCTGGACAGGGGGTTGTTGATGCTGGATCACCAAAAACGAGCAATTCTCCATCTTGCAATGATCATCAAATGGATTCGAAAACAGCCCTAGACTCTGGAATCCATGGCGATGCTGATTCCTACAGCTGCCTTTGAAAAACAAGCTCGAGCTGTTTGAAATGTCGTCTTGCAGTATGCCGTAAAAAGTACAAACATTCACACATGATCCAACCTTGGATGGCCTGGAGCTTGAATACGATGAAAGGGCCATTGGCTGAGAGCCATCTGGGATTCAAACAGTCG